CGCCGGTTGAGCGCCACCTCCGTCTCGACGCGATTGTCCACGACCTGCATGGTCTGCTTAGACACGGCCCAGTCCCGCGAGGCGACGTAGGTGTAGGTCTCCTCCGAGAGCTCCATGACGATGGCGCCGTCTACTAATTATCACGAGCCCCATTTGGGGAGCCCTTTCGGTTTTTATTGCGCGGCGTGCTGGGTTTGTAGCATTTGGGATCGTCGATTTCGTATTTATCGGTTTTTGGTTTAGTTTGATCTGAGTCAGCCTGCCCAGGCTAAGGTCGTGACAGTGTCATGGACAGAGCTCGCCCTTGAACATCAGTTGTAACAGCCTACTATTGTCTAGATTTCCGAAAGTGGTCTAATTGTGTGCTTCGTGCAACTCTGCTGTTTCCGAGCGTTCGCGGCAGCGATCAGTAGAATCAGAACTCAGTCACAGAGCCGTCAAGAGTCCCGAACCAAGTCTGCTCGTGTGCATCATGCAGTTCAGATGTTTCGTGGCATTAGCGATGGTGTGATATGTTTGCGCGGCAGAAGAATTGAAGAATGTAGGAATCTGCCGTTTCCACACAATAACCTGGTAGTGTGAGTACAAGCCATGCAGCTCACCTGGCTTGCACCAATGGCGTTGGCTTTAGTATCGGCCGCATCCACGGCACCTGCTGCCGACACATCTTTTCTTGGGGAGAGGAAGCTTGACTTGAATAGTCTTGGTCTCCTAGTTTGTAATATTTCTCGCAGCAACACCACAGCAATGACTTCAACTTTACGCCACCTTCCCCCTAAGCCCAACCACCTCACCCGATCCCAACCACCCACCCACCTCACCAACCCGCCCCACGTGCCCTGCTCAACCCACCCACCCCACCACTGCTGACAGAGCGCAGGGTGCGGACTGGTACTGTTGCCTGCGGTCACAGGTACCAAATACCAGGGTGCATCGTGGCTGCTGCTGTTCCCATGGCTGTGACGAGGTGGGCTGGCGTATTGCGCGTACCGCATCCGCTCCTTACTAGCTTCACCTGCGGCGGGGTCGGCGTTGCTTTGGGTTGCAAACCATGAATCCGATACTGCTACCGGCCTGATGCATCTGATGCTCATGTTTCTCGCCACCATAATGCCGGTTTCCTCGGTGATGATGCTTTATGATGCCGATATGCTCTTGGTGCCAAAAATCCGGGTTGTTTTGAGTTTTGGCCCGGTGCAGGCGATTTTTGCCTGTGTGTTTTGGTCAGTCCTAGAAAGTTCCCTTAAATCGATGCTAGTATTTTCCCGAAAACACCCTATATTATATATATATATATACATACACATTGTTTTGATTTTTAGGGGTCTCGGAAGGGGAGCCGCAGGCTCTTAGGCCCCTGGCCCCGGGGCTGTTAACCCCCAGTCGGTATATGACAGACTGGGGGTGGGAGCTCTGCTGTAACTAGATATAACAAAAGTGACCTGAACTTAATGCCGCGTAACGATATGAAAGTGAAGTATATAAAAATGGGTGGGCCCGGCCTGGTGAGGCCCTGGGCCACCCCCCGGCAAGCGGCACCGGGTTACAAGAACGCGCACGGGGTCTTTTTCATCCAGTTTTAGTTTCTAGGCGGCATTAAGTTAGGCACCCTAATCCCGTAAAAAAATTGGACTGATGCTCACTGTTGCTCGTCTGAGTGGCCCCAATTCGCCTCGCCTCGGCCGGGGGCTAGAATGCCTCAGACTTCGGTGATCTCATTGCATATCTTGGCCAAACACCATGATTCTGCATGCTGTCGGTCGGTTTGGGTTTGTTCGAAACGAGGTAGCAGCAGTCATACCCGTGATTGTGGGGCCACCACCACCTCACCTGCTTGCCCCTCACCAGCCCCCCCGCCGCACCCATCACCCCCGCACCCTTGACATTTTAGCGCTTAGGTTTTGGGGTTTCCTGCAACACCCGGCCCAGACCTCCGAAACAGACCTGGTCCCAGACTGCACGGAAGCTGCCAGGTTCTGGGTGCTGGTGCGAGAGAAAGACTGCTACACCACCTTGGTGTTTGTCTCAGGCAACCACGTACGCTGCGAGAGAGGGCGCTGGCAGATACTCCAGAAATTGCAGTCTCAGGTAAACTTAAAAGGGCGCCGCAATCTTGCAGCTGTGCCTGAAGTGGATGCCCGCGCATTTCGAAAGCTTGCGAGGAACCAGGACGGCTTTCAAACAGCAAAGATGTTCAGATCCGTCTTGGCTTCACCAAAATCCAGCCCCATATCACTACTTGAGATTGAATCTGACATGGGTGAGAAGCTTGATTTTGACAATTTTCGGGTAGTGGTACCCGAGTCTGGATTCCAGTATCCGTGGCAGCTGCTCCTGCCTGTCACGCTGATGCATCAAGTGCATCCGTTCCGCTCCACCGGCGACCGCAGTGACCTCAGCCAGTTGATGGTGGAGCTGGCTGGAGCCACTTTTTCAGAATCATCATCCCTGATTGACGATCTTGCCAGCACATTGTGCCTCCGAGTGATGACGGAGAGTCGCCGGCACGGAGGGCATCAGTATTCACCGGCACAGGTGTTAAACTGTGTCTTGCTTTCTGACCAGCTGAAGGATCTCAGCTGCTTTGCTGCCGTGGTGAAGCAGTGCTTCCTGATGGCCCTAGATCCAGCTTTGGCAGCCCATCTTCTGAGTCAGGGCCTGCGCGTCCCCGCGGCTGCAACTGTTTATCGACACAGACTGCTGTTGGATTTAGTTGCAATGGTTTTTTCCAGGCGGTATTTCTTCCGCATCTGTCGTAGCCCATCGGATCCAGAGTCTGGGCCCCCACACTGGGCTTTGCATTTGCGGGCGGATTCATCTCCGCAGTACGGGAAAGATTATTATGTGGTGGAATGTGATCACATCCGAGTAGATTTGATCTCAGAGTCCTTTCTGTTCAGTGACATGAAACAGGTCATCACACGAAGAGTGCTTCCCCTGCAATTGATCGGGGAACGTGCTGCTGGAACAGAACAGAAGCTTTTCAGATTACATATGGCCTTATCCGCTGAGACAGGTTGTGCTGAAACAGCCCTTCTGAGGACAGCATCCAGCCCTGTCCCGCTTTGACCCACACAACTTCTTTTCTAGGAAATGGTTTTTCTTCTGAACAGCTGTTCTTGCCTTGAGTCGCCGTGCCACCTTTCCTTTGCCTTGGGTGGCTTGCTTTCGCAGGAGCTATTCCCTCGCGTTCGATATGGGCGTCGAATCGAACTTGCTGGCAGCACCTCAAGGCCTTTCAACATCCTCACAAGTCGCTGCGCTTGTACCAGAGCCCCGCCAAGGGCAGGCCGTGGATATGATATTCCCTTACAGTGTGCCCAGCAAGTTGGACGATGTCGATTGGGAGTGTGTTGAACGGTTGGCACCTCGAGCGATGCCATTAGGCGACTCAGACCACGAGCCCGGTCTCGTTGAGTAGTGGGGGGGCCGGGGGTGTTTATTTGTGACTCAGCACTTAAGCGATCTGCGTCACTAACTAACCACCAAGGCTCTGCATCATGCGATGCTGGAATTGAAATCCAGCTTTTCGCAGTGGAAGATGTTTCATAACACTCTGAACGCAATCGCGAAGTACTTCGGCAATTGGAGCCGACTGAAGCGATTTCGTTCAACAGCCATAGACAGGAATCCAACGCTGAAGTCCATGGCGGTCAAACGGTCTTTTTCTGCGATGTTCAAGAATACTTGCCCATCATTACAAGAGCAACGTTGGGAATACATGATCCTCTTCCTTGTTCCAAGTTGTCAAGGTTTACGATTTGCTGTTGTTGCCGCCGGCGCGCGTGTTTCGGTAGGGTGGTTCTGAAGTTTGCCACACTTAATCCATCTGAGGAAAGAGGTCTTGGATTGGGTCTTGCCTCGCCGACGTCCCTTGGAGGCTTTGCGGATTCATGACTTGACGGTGTCGCATGACTTGGACGAGTGCGATGTCCAGTTTCTCACACAGTTGAGCCACGACGCCGCCACATCCAAGCTATTCTGGTGCATGGCGCTGCTTGTGGAACCCATCGTTGGGTTTGGCTCCCACCTCTCTCGGTGGCTTCACAAATGCCCCTGCGGCTGCGATGTCAAAGACAAATGTGTCCTCAAAGGCCGTCGCTCCATCGAGCTTGCTTGTGGGAAGATAGACGAGTTTGTCGGCACATTGAAGAATCTGACTCTCTCACCGTTTGCCATCGAAGCTTACAAAGAGCTGAAATGGCAGGATGGTTCTGTGGCCACGCAGCTCTTGAATGAGTACGAAACGGCCAAAGGCAAAGTTCACGTCAGAATCTGCCAATCATTCAGCTTTTGGAAAGAGAAGCCCTGGAACATACTCCGTGTTGGCGAGTGCCTGCTTGGAGATGCTGCTCGGCTCATGCCTTGGCCTTAAACTCCACCCTAAACCCTAAACCGACTGAGTTTCCAGGTGTCCTTAGGTGATTTGCAACCGCACGCAGATCTTTCAATATTCCATAGGCAGCTATCTAGACGGTTCTAATGGATTCCGCCTGGCCTGAAGCCCAAGCAGTTCAATTGGAAACATCTCAGAGAATACCGTTTCCGTTATCAGTTATCATCCATCGAACTTCAGGGCAGTGACACGCAAGCCTTGGCGCGAAGTCGGGCGGCAGCACGTGCTTTCTTGCAACCATCCACGAACTTTCGCGCTGCTGTGAGTGTGACTTGACGGCGTTGGGGTGTGCAATGCATGCAATAAGCAGAGCCTGCATGATTGTGTCTTGCGGTTGTAGCATCAGGTGATGGAAGCTAGATTCCTCGAAGGGGAGCTCAATGCAGGATTGATTTCGTTCGCTGCGGGCGGCCCTTCGGCACGCACTCATGCACATCCTGTGCATGTGCCGGGTGCCGGGCATGTCATCTTTCTATATGTTCTGTGGGTGCGCGTGCCTGCAAGTAACTGTCTCTGTCTGTGTGTGTGTGCGTGCGCGCGCGCGGGTGTGTGTGTGTGTGTGTGTGTGTGTGTGTGTGTGTGTGTGTGTGTGTGCGTGCGTGCGTGGGTGGGTGCGTGCGTGTGCCTGCGCATTTTCGTGTATGTGTGTGTCTGTGTTTTTTTGTTTGTGTGTGTGCGCGTGTGTGTGTGT